TCTTCCTCTCTGCAACTCCATTCTGCTCAGGAGTATAGGGGGCAGTGAGCTGGTGAATTATACCTTATTTTTGAAAAACTCTGAATCTTTTATTTAAAAACTCTCCACCACGATCAGTTCTAAGAATTTTAGACGTTTTCCTATTGGTTCTCATTTGTTCAATAAATTCTTTAAATTTGTCGTAGGCCAAATCCTTTGATGCAATGAAAAATATTGTACAATAACGGCTGTGATCATCAATCAGAGTTAAAAAATAACGATTCCCCAGGGGTTGTATTTGCAGGGGGGCAGCATAAGTCGCAATGTACCATCTAAAATTTCATCCGATCTAGATTCCGAGCCTTTGGAAAGGGTGCTCGTGTAAGCTTTGCTCTCAAGCAAACCTCACAATCAAACAAACAAGCACATTTCTTTATGCTCACACCTCGAATAAGCTCTTTAGTAACGGTTGAGCTAATTGCTTGATGACTTCTGTGGCCAAAACGACGATGCCAAATATGAATACAGTCACTCTTACATTTCGATATCATATTTGCTTTGTAAGACTGATTCAGCACAAACAAATTGTTCCTTAAAGTAGCTTTCGCAAGAACATGTCCGCCCAGAGAAATTGAACAACCATTTCTGTCAAAAAACACCTTAAAAACCTTCAGCAGTTAGTTTCCGAACTGACAGTCAACTCCCGTCCAGCTCTGGTATGAATAGTACATTTGAACACGAATTTCCTTGCCTTCACAAATATCTTGCAGTCACCACAAACCAGTCACCTTCAAAATTGTACCATCTGCCAAATACACCATTCATCACTTGCTTATAATTTTGTCAAAATATGTCTCCTCACTACACATATGACAAGTGCCAGCGAATCAATAAACCAATCGCCATTTGCTTTTACATTTGTGATACCAAAACAAACATTTTTATTGCCATTTAACACTTATTGGCCCGATTGTCGTTGGCTTTTGTTGTTTTCGCAGATTTTTGTTTGTACAATCCTTTTTCATATGGCCGGCTTTCCACATGAAAAACATTTTGGCACAAACTTTCTTCTGCACTTTAAAAGCAGCCTCAGTTTGATGTTCACCTGACAGTTTCCTGAACTCCTGTAGCAACTTCTCCTTCACCAAATCGAGCGTCAGATCTTCTCCGAACGCATTTCTAATGATGAAATTAGGTGGTTGTAATCATCCGGCAAAGGGCCCGCAAAAATGCAACAGCTTGTGTTCTTCCATCTTCTCACCCAAATCACGCAAACGGTCCACAATTGATAAAAATTCATGATGTGGTCTTCCATACTTTGACCACTAACCAGCCTCTTCGACGACATTTGGCGAAGCAGACTAACTTTGTGGTTATGTTTGACTTCTCGTGATGCTTCTTCAAGGCGTCCCAGAAAGCTTTCGCCGTCTTCAGTTGCTTTATGAGTATTTTCTGTGATTCCTCCACAGCCAACCCAATAGCAGCCCTTGCCTTCCCATCACGAATCAACCACTTTTCATCCGGCTCCTCAGGCAGATTACCAACACAACATCCCACAATTCCCTCTCCAGCAGCAGCAACTCCATGTTAAATTTCCAGACATGGTAATTAGATTGACAATTTGGGAAATAATGTGTACGATGCAGCCATGATTTTATCAATTTACTTCCAATAAAAAAAAAAAAACGATTTTAATTACGCCGAATGTAGGCCCATAACCTGTTGTTGAGATCAGTTTATTAAAGTAATGAGGAAAAGAAATGTGTATGTACATATAATGGCGTATGACACAATTTCCAAAGTTGTAGACATTTGCATAAACATTAAGTGTCCTCACAGTTAATTACAATGTTGATTTGAGTGTTTATATAAATTAACTATTAACAATTTTCCCTTCGTGATATCGAAAAAAAATTGCAAAACTAGTAGTCTTGCTGTTTTTGGAACAACAAACTGCTATCGATAACATTGTCCCACGATACGTTAGCCACTAATTGCGACTCGTGCATATTGCCCCAAATTTCAGTCACAATAGAAGCGAATCAAATTATCCAGTACGAAATTGTTTCGGTTACAAGTTAATAAGTGAAAAATTCTTTTTCTGTTGTAGTGAAATTAAATTATTAATTTTGTTTGGTGCAAACTCAGGTGTGTGGAAACAGAACGCAAGATAACACAACTGTATGTATGTAGGTACATAATGTATTTTTGCTTTTATTATTTTACGCTTCTATGTTTGTTGGTTTTGTTTTTTTATGTATCATTATTATTATTATTAACTTTAGTTACTTTTGAACACAAGAGTATAAATTGTAAGCGATAATAAAAAAATATATTACATTTGCTATCCGGAATCCGGCGATAGTAAATTTGATTTATTGATTGTAGGAGCATTACTTTGGTCATCCATACTTTGGAGATTATGTGCGGAGTTTACCTGGGGTAGACAGACAGAATGGTACATGATTGAGCATGTCTTTGTGGCAGGGAAACATGTGGTTTGACTTACGGGACTAATGGGTGTTATTACAATAGCAGTACGTGTGGTCGGTGCAGTAAGGCCGTGTCCTCAGTTGTCTCGTCGCCGTCCACATCGGCATCAGCGTCGACAATGGCATCACTGTCGATTTCCCAAGACGGATGGTATTCGTCAAATTCCTCTTCGCATTGAGTTCCTCTTCTTCGACATCTTCATACTCATCGATTAGGATAACTGTAATGGAAGAGGATGTGCTTAAAGTTTGAATGAAATTCCAGGCATTGGTTCGAAGGCCTTACTTGAACTTTCAGGTCGTTGCTGGCTCGGGCTAGATCCGAGCGATTGTGACTCTGTTGTTGGTATCGATATGGATACTTCATCCACTTGACACACCTTATCATAAGGTTGTGATATTGATCTGGAAGGAGAAATAAGGAATGTACCTTTTAATGACCAATTACCGTAGAATCTCAACGATTTTAGTTATTCAACCTTCGAATCATCATCGCGGTTCTACTGTATAGATATTTATGAATAATTTTTTACCTTAACGTACCCGCTTCTTCGATCTACTTTCTATTTCGGCTATGAAGCCATCACTACCACGTTGTTTGTAAACAGATATCGGCCTAGGGTCGACCGACAGAGGATATGAACTGTTTTGGGAAGACTGTTGAGGGAAAGTGGTTTATTGGATCTGGCAGATATATTCATGGCTACATACATACCTTTGTGTATTCAGGTTCAGTGGTCCCTTGTTGTGCCTGCGACGACGTCGATGATGATGCTTGATCCAGTGCCATTGCCGCCAACGCCGCCGTTGATGTAGTAGCATCTGCCATCTTGGCTGAACGATTTATCCATTTCATTGCTTTTCTTATTTGTATTTACAATACCACTTTGACTATTTTCGATGATATTATGGAGGTGATTATTATTGTTGGAATGTTTTGAGACCTGAGGAGTAGGGGGAAGTGTTTGAAACCGTGACGGTCCTCCATGTAAGGCTTTAATTAAAATATCTAATTTTCTCTTCAATATCGGCAACCTGTAAATCGTAGAAGTTCTAATTTCGGATTGCTGCACACATTTGATTTGCTTGTTTGTTACCTGTCTTTCGACTTTGACCACTCTTGAAGCTAAGCTAATTTTCGAAGCATAAGCGTCTTTTGATTTAGATCCTTGCTTTCCCAATATTTGATCAAGCCTATTTGAGAGTAGATAGCGGAAAAAGTTAGGAGATAAGTGTCATCAACGGAATAGGTTCGAAGCTGATTGGCCTACCTGGCGTGAACATTTTTTACACGACCCAGTAAGTCGACATGTCCTGCGGCATACTGTTCCATGACATCTTTAACGTCGTATGGTTTAAGGGCTTCTTTGAACTTACGACGGGCCACAAAATACTTAAGCTGCGGAAGAGAAACCGAAAGATTGTTCATTTATAACGTTGTCGTGTATACAGCGGTAGAATTTTTGGTACATACCTTTCTAATAAAACGTATGGCAGTCTTGTGCTTATTTGTCAATTGAGTGCAGCGTGGCTCATCATCTTCGTCTACAGGGGTCGTGTCAGACAATGACCGCAAACAGAAACGAATAGAAAAACAAGGAGTTTTATTAGCTTTGAATGCAACCAGAACGTCGGACAGAAATTCTCAAACTACAAAAGTACATTTCAATTTACAAAAATCTAAATACAGAATTTTGGCCACGATGATGACGCCCTTAGTGGATTGTATTACTGCAAGCATAATGGAATACATCATCATCACCATCGGAACAAAATCAACAGTTTGGATCGATCTACGCTTGAACAGCCGTGCTTTAGGTGCTGCCAGAATATGTCGGTTCTACGTCTACTAGCTACAATATACAGACATCTAAGGTGCATGCGATAGACAGATTGTGGGATATGGTGTGTTGGTCGGAAGGAGCTACGATCTGAACAATTCAAGTGGTCAACCCCTGGGTGAGTGGAGTGTTCGGGGTGTTTGCGGTTGTACTGTGTGTGCAGTTGAGAGGGCGGCGACAGAGAGAAAGAGCGAGCGAGGTATGTGGTGATAGATGCAGTGTCGGTGAGATATTTCTTGGATTAGTGTCATTTAAGGAATTTTTAGGTCATTCGACTAATGGTATGTTACAGAAGCGGACGAATCAAAGTCAAAAACAACATATTTTCATATTGGAAAGGAGGGTATTGGAGTTTGGGTTGGCACGACTTTAGTTAGTTTGGAAAAAAAAACACACTGAAAAGAGACGAGAGCTTTATTGAACATCGGTACATTGCTACATTTTATTTTACATGGGTTATGAGACAACGATCCAATCCTTCGAGCTTTGTTTCCCAAGACTGATGAGCCAGACTGAAGAATACAAAGACAATGCTTTTCCCATTTCGAATTTCATTGACAATGGGCGGGAGAGGGAGGGCCAACAATCTGTGAGTGCAATCAGTGATCATGTTTGGTTTGAAGATTTCAATTCAAATCAAATTACAATTCGAAAACTTGGCAAAGCATCGAATCCATAAATTTCCAGCGTTGGCTCATTGCACGACTCAAAGGATTCACTCGAAGCCCTCGGAGACAGTGAATGTGACTTTAGCATTTGCACTTGACTTTTGTCCTGGTCTTAGGGTGTTCTACAAATAAGCACTACAAGGGATTGTACGCACTTCCTTCGCAGGTGAATCGTGTGGCATTGTGGTTTTGGCTGTTTTGTCGCCCATCATTGTGACTGTATGTAGGCTTTGTGTTCTTCGTATAAGGCACGTTCAGTTGGTTCACCGTTCCCATTGCAATTGGCATTTTGCCGGCCCAGAGAGAAATTCGAGCCGAACAGCTCCCCCTGTAGGAGTCCGCAAAGCACTATGGGTATGGAAGTTACATTGCTGAGTATCATTTTATTCTTGTTGTTACAGTCGGCATGGCTAGGCTCTGCCCTATCACAGTTGTCGCTGACTGAGGCACTGTCGGCATCGCGGCCCGGTCCCTTGAATTGACTTAGCTGAATGGCTTCGGTGGGATTTTTACTATCTAAATTGCTCAGCGAGACCCAACTGTGCCTTCTGCGATTTTGTCCAGCAATCGGGGGCTCAACCCTGCCAATGGTATACACAAAATGTGAATGTATTATTTTAGATATTTATGGCAATTGAATGTGGTTTTTATTTAGCACCTACGGACTCCGAATCTGAAAAGGAACTTTCTCTCGACTTGAATCTAACAACGACGTACACAATAGAACCGCTTCGTTCTTCTCCATTTCATATTTTTGTTCAACGTTGTGTCCTCGTCCCAGTGGCATTACTTTGTAACGGTTCATACTATTTGTCATGGTATATATATATGGTAGTATGTCGTATTTATATTAGAATATGGAAGAACTGATCGCATTTTATCGTACCACAACTGTCGTACGACTTCTACATATTACATTCTCGGAATACAACACTTATACAACAACATCCAATGACAAACATCGGTTCAAAAGAGACGTGCAAGACTTACCATCCGAATTCTTTTTCAACAAAGTGGTATCTGCGACCGAGTCTTCGCTGAAACTCGCATTCAACGACCGTCCATTTTGGTACCACTTCTGAAAGCGCAACAATAAATCGTTTTGTTGACAAGAAAAGACCAAAGGAAAACTTTTCGTTTAAATTGTTTCTTTTTATAAATGCTCTCTGTTAAAAACGGTTATTGTTAATCGTTTTGTTTCACAAATTAAAAAAAAAATATATATTCAGAGTAGGTTTGGTTGGTGGTAGTTGATATTAGTTGTTGCTAGGTAATGTAGTTTGTAATGGCTTAAAAATGTCCATTGTGGTAAATGTGGTTCGTTGGTCGGTTCGTAGCACAAATGTGAGCACAGAGATAAATCAAGAGATATTGAAAACAATAAAAACGGAAAATAAAGAGTATTTAACTTTTAAATAGTAAACTAATAATTATGATACGTATGCATGTATGTAGAGATACCATTGTTCGCCTGGGCCAGACGTATAAAGAAAACTTAGTTGAAATGTCTAATTCATTCTGATTATTTGCTTTGGATTCAATTTAATCTTCAGGTAGTTTGATCGTACTTTTATTTTGTACGTAGAAGGAACTGCAACAAAATGAAACCCGAAGCTTTTTGAAATATCAGGGATGAGGTAAATAATCTATACAAGTCTTTATTATGTTTATGCACTTGGTGGTTACTGGCAAGATTTATCAATGGTCACGATAGAGCAGAACAATGGTAGGACAAGGCTGTTGAAAAATCATTTCACCGTGGCTGCCTATCTTCGTGCATTTCACAGCTGGTTATGGATACTTTTGTCCGATTTCAAGATTTTTTGTTTGATTTTAGGCTATTTTCATATAAAGTATGGGAATTCCTACACCTGCAATACACTGTAGAAGTGAATGTTGGACACATCATTGAATATGTCGTCCTACAAAACTATACCTCTGCGTAACACTTCTAGTTTGATTGAATGCAAATATAAATGTTGTATTTTAAATAAAATAAAAGAAAATGAATCTCACGTTTAAAATGCCATGCTTCCTCTCTCGCTAGATAAGGATAATAAGAATAACATTCAACATTAACTTGTTCTAAAACACAGGTGGGTGGGAGTAATCTTTAAATAACGCAGTCAGGATAACATACGAGTATTTTGCAGTAGAAGTACATCGAGCTTGCTTTACATCCGAGCAGTTTGGGCAATCGGTCTTAAAGATAACATTGTGTTGACATTGAAAGATGTAGGTAAATACTTGGATTGTGACTCTCAAGGAATAAATAGCAAGAAACAGTAACATCTGATTGGATTAAAATAGTTTAAATGGATTATATATATTTATAAGGAGAGAGACAGAGAGAGTAAGAGAGAATCGTATATATATGTGGATTGTATATTGAAATCAACATTTACTTGTGAAAATCGGTGTGTGAGAGAAATAGAAGAGTAACAATATAATAAAGTATGTGATACAATATCAAAGAAAGGTTTCGGTATGGAATATTGTCTTTGTATTTACGGAAAACAGTAAGAGATTCAGGATAAGGCTAAACAACTTACTTTCGATGTCGAACCAACGTCCCCTTCCTTCAGAGGCGCAGCTCTATGGATTTAATTTGAATCTGTTAAACAAGTTTGGTCAAGAGAGTGCTTAAATCGATTTACAAACAGAGTGTATTGTGTCGTTCATGCAGAGTCCCTAAGCGCGGTAATCCTGGTTTAAGTGGCTCTCTTGTGTGACATCGTATTCGAAATACACATCTATACTGTTGGCATCCCGAACTCAAAGGTAATTGAAATAACTGAATATGTATATAGAAACACAGTATAATATTTACAAGTATATAATGTCTCCAAGGTCTTGATCCTGCATTTCCAACTCACTTCAAAGGATCAATTGCATCAATCATGCGATCGTGACCGATTGGATTGCCACGAATGTCGATTTTACAATAGGGAGTTCGGATTTTGAAATGAGTTCTGTCAAAACCAAGACTTTGGACATAGTTCTGTTGGTGGTGTTGTTGTAGAAAAGTGGGAGTTATTCATTTGTTTGTAGTTATATCTTTGCTTAGTTCAAAAATAATATGGAGCTCCCTACAGCCCGTGTGTTTGGTGACTTATGTACAGACGCGGTGCTCGGACAACCTTATCACAACAGACATCATCTGATGGTTGTTTGTGTTAAGTTGCCGCTTGGCATTCAGCACGTCAAAAGCTAGCCAGCGAGGCGACAAGCTTGCTGCGATGTACACAACGGGGTGTAGGACGCATCTAATGTCGGTTAGAATTATTAAAAAATTGTTGTTGTTCTTTTAACTTTGGGTAAAATTGAAGCGTAAAATAAGGGAAGAAAGTAAGCGAGATTGAAAATAACATGCACGTACGCTAAATATGAAAAAGCCCGCAGGTTGGGCTGGACTACTCACCAAGGTTCTCCACAGATTGGTTCAACTCGCGTAGGTTGCGGGTGTAGCGGGAAACTCGATTGGTGGCCACTGCTGTCTTGACGCTGAGACTGTCTCCGCCGGGCGATTGGGTAGATGTGGGTGGCTTGTGTCGTCTGATGGTTGGAAGGCGGGCCACGAATGATGCATTGTGCTTAAAACTAGATGAGGCTCGTCTGCGGGTGTGGTGTGTTGACAAAAAATGGCGTAAACAGATGGAGTTTGAAAATGATTACAATTAGTATGGTAATGTTTACAGTTGTAAAACAGGCAACTAATTCTACAGTTGGCGGCTTCCCGATCTGTCTGCGAGGGAAGCCATCAACTTCAGGGCGGCTGTGTAACCTTCACTGATAAGTTGTAATGCAAAGTCGGGCATGTTTCAAGCGATACTTCTAAAGTTTGTTTGTATTTTTTTTTCGGAAAGTAAAACTAAAATACATTTTTAACCCAAGATTGTAGTGGATCATAGAGTTGATAGAAACGTTAAACCTTAGACCAATCGCCACTGTCACATGCTTTAGCACACATCAAATAAATTTCCTTGTGTACCCAGCGAGACATTTTGCACTGCGACAGCCGAACTAGTTTAAGGATTAATACGGTGATGCCATGGTCGTAAGCCATGTTTTCTACATTTTACTGAGGAATGTAGATTCATGGAATATTATTTACACTCTTTGAGAGGTCCAAGCGTCTATACTATGCAGATCAGGCAAAGTATTTTCCTGATGGATGTTCTATCGAAACACGAACGTTTTACATGCGACTATGCACTTCATTGACAACCACTATTACACAACACGGGCAAAGAGTTTTGCAATAAATGTATTTATCGGAAGATACGTGGGTCCACAGATAATTTGTATGATCGTTTTGGTACCCGGCAGCAGTCTGTTATGCTCCGACTTTTATGCATTATAGAAGACATTCGTTACCAAAGATTTCATGGGCAGGCACATATAGTTCAGGGGGAGACACATAAGCACCACTCCAACCTCGGCACCATGGCATGTCAGCAGGTCTGGCAAAATAATACGTGGCAAGATCGACTCAATTCCTACGTGGCTCTGATATGGTACGGTGCCAAGTATGACATGCTGCGTATGAGTCTCCTCCATTTTTAGATTGGAAAATTGATTCTGCATAAACCGGTGCGACACAAGGCATAATTATAAAGTGTGTGTGTGTGTGGGAGGGGGATTTGTTTGTTTGTTTGTTTGTGAGAATGGTTTGGTTTGAAAAATTCGCGGTGCATTTGGGTGGTGGCTCTTTGAATATTTCTGCAAGTAGCACAACAAAGCCGAAACAGTAGTGGTGAAATTTTGAAAAGGAAATTTAAATAATTTGAAACTGTTCTGTTTTTAGCGTTGGACGTTCGACGGCATATTGTCGCATCAATTGGACTAAAAGCTGGCGTATTTATGCAATAGAATATGTATAAAGAAAGTTACGAAAGGTGAAGGCGAGATCTTAGAGAAAAGATAGTACTGGCGAAAGGTGTGGTTGTGAGTTTGAGATGCATTCGTTGCTGTTAGTTAGTTTACCTAGATTCAATTAAACTCTTAAACAGTCTATCCCAATACTCAGAACTGAAAAAATCGAGAAACCAAAAGACATAAGAAATGATTAATTTTTGTCATTGCAAATCAAAAGAGAGCTGAATTCGACTGATTTGGTTTTAGATAATCGATCGATGATACAGAACCCATCCATGCATTAATGAAAACACTCGCACACTGACCAGAACAAACAGACACAACTCGCTTAGTCAATTGGTAACAGGAGGCAGGAGGAGAATGGGCTAGATGGATTAGATTCGAGGTTCGGATGACAATGTGATTTAGACCCCATGCATACATTTTCAGTGTGAATCGAATTGGAAATGGGCCACCTCCCACATCTGGAATCTGCAGAGTATTTCCCGCTTGAGTACAGGGTTGGAATTCGGTGTTTAAGATTAATTCCTTTTGCCTCAATTAGATACTCTGGCAGGAGTATTTTCCATTGCAATTGCGGACGGGCGACGTAACATGTCATCTGGGCCAGTTGCATCGCTGTCCGCAGCTCAAATACTCCGGCAAGAGTATCTAATGCCCTCCGCGCAACTTGTTCAAAAGCAGCAGAGAGCCTTAACGAAATTCAAAGAACATAAGAAAGTGGCCGAAAGAGTTCAATTCAAGTTACAAAAAAGATTGACAAAGCTATAGCGTGAGAAAAAAGATTGGAGGAGTCCCTAACATACCTGGTGCTGTCACAAACACATCATCCAATGATTGATTGAACGCTTCGTTTGACTTATTGGATCGATTGTTCTGTAATTCAATCTCTGAATGCTTCGATCGAGTGATCGATTGGGCGAATGACTGATTAGTAATCACAACGATTGTTCATTGTATGTAGGTATGTATGTTTGTATGTAGGTATGTATATAGTGTGTTCGTATGGATCGAGAATAGGATAAACGATGATACTTACGAGGCTGGTGGACTGGGCAACGCCACCTGGTGTATCTTCCAAGTGGCCACAGATGATGAGTGTTCGTCGGCTGCATAGCAGCGCCACAAGGCCTGTATTAGCGAGGCAGCTGGTTGACGCCGGCGTATCATGTGTTTTTGTCTTTGTTGCTGTTGGACCTTTAAGGCAAATCCGCTGCCCAGAATGCCCTGCAATGGAAAATGAAATTTGTCGTCACTCACATTCTCATTGACTACTAAGCCGGTGGATAATTCTTACCGCTGGCAGAGCGAAAAATGATATGCCCAGGAGAGCGCAAAACGAGGCTATGAGTTTGCCTTGCCACGTTTCTGGAACCATGTCACCATAACCCACCGTACACAATGTGATCTAAGGATAAGATGTAATCAGATCAAGTTCATCGAACGTTTGCAGCCACATTCGGCAAAGCGATTCACTTACCACACCCCACCATAGAGCTTGTGCAAAATTATTGAACTTGTCATTGACATCTTTCTCCATCAAATACACCAGGAACGATGCGAAAATAAGGCCTAGGAATCCAATGTACATTGTGGTTATAAGTTCCTGCGGACGAAATTCAAACACACAATTAGAATCATTCGCGTCGGGATAGTGGGCCATATACTCACTTGTCTGTGTGCGTATACGACACTGCCCAGGAGTTTCCAGGTACCGCCACGACGGTCCATGCGTACCATTCGCAAGATTTGGAAAAAGCGTAATCCCCTTAGGGCACTCGTGGCAAACACTTGGCCCGATGTGCCCATGCCTAATACAACTACGGAAGCAACTATAGTAATAATATCTGAAAGAAATGCGAACATTGACCACACGAATGACGACACGTTGTGACGACTCAGCTCAGCACTGACATACCTATAATACAAAATGGTCGTTTTACGAATTTCAGACGACCCACACATCCTTGGTATCGCGAGCGACAGCCGGATGACCACAGCCTGAAATGTTTGCAAAGGAAAAAGAGGTGAAGAGATTAAATAGTTTTTTTAGTTTTCAGAATCCAAATTTAGGGGGACCCCATATATGTTTTCCTCTGTTCATCGATTCTCGCTCATAACCGAGAAAAAAGAGAAACAGCGTTGCATCCAATAAGGGAGGAAAACCGTTGTCTAGCATCGCACGTTGATTGGGTTTAAAACTCGTTGGTAGGGGTCTTCGTAAATTCTGTCATGTCTTGCTCGGACATTTTATTTTGATTGAATTCCCATCTATTTATAAGCAAATATAAAGCAACTATTCAAAGCATGTAGCTTAGTTATTAAACGTTGTTGAGAGAAGCAGTTTTTAAATAATTTAAATAATTGTTAAATAATTCATTTCATTTTGTTTTGAGGTGGCACACCAGATCTTTTTTGTAAAGCAATTTGTAGTGGTGTGGAAACATCTCAAGAATGGTTTTATGATTTCATTTTAATTAACGCCAGCAAAGTAGACAAGTTGTAATGAGATACCATGCCTAACTGAAAACGTCCAAACTGAAACCAAACGAGAATCTGGCTGATATATTTGTTAGCACATACATATACCAAACATACGAAACAACTGCAAGTTATAACATTTTTATGATTCGATAAAGAAACCCTCCAAATTATTCTGTGGTCTGTATGTGTATGCTATTTTTGGTCACAAAGATAAAATTCAATTTGGCACAAGCCATAAAGTGCCCGAATTTTTATGCACTTCAACGTAGACTTTCTGCCAAAGCCAACATCGTACCAAAGAAATGTCAGGCAACTGAGGGTAAAGTTTCGCGGAGCCCACCACGAAATATTACAAATCTTGAAGAAACCTCTAAATTCCGAAAATCTATATCGAAAAAACATACATTAGATTTATGCTGCCCCAAGGACGTATATGAAATCAATCTATAAGCACAGGTCTATATAGTACGTATTTCAGTCGGAATATGGTAAATAAAGTAAAATACTTGTTGGGCTCCACACATTTTTATCGATTTTTTTTGACTTTAACTACAAAACAGGTTTTGGGATTTTGACTTAAACACTTTAGTTTCTCACGAACTGAAAAGTTTGTGGGGTATGGAATTGTGAAATAGGACATTGTGCCATTTGAATTCACAATTTCTGTTACCATTTGTCTGAAAATATCGAACCGTAAAATAAGATCCTGAGCGGCAACAAAACGAAAAGTGAGCGAGTACCGCTATAATTTTTTGGGATTACGATAATTCCCGAAATCATTGCTCCGAGTCACACACGCTAAAATTAATCATTTTATTTTACATTGGAGGTGAGATTTTTTTTTGCCAAGGATGCATATGTACAATCGAGCGGACGGACGGATACAGAAGACGATCAATGTCCTACCAGGTCGCAAAAAGTTCAGCAGAAAAGCTTACTAGAAACAATTAGGGCGAAACTTCTTGAAATTTGATTTCATAGTAGTTCTGTCGATGTTGGAATTTTCTTCCATAAAGTTGATCAAATTGAAGAAAAGTTCTTGTTTGCACTATTGACACTCTTACTAACTATGCGAATCGCTTCTCCATTTATCGCTTTTATTTTGAATTCAGGTATTTGTTTTTTAAAAGATTTTACCCATTTGTTTTTGAATGAAACCGATGAATATGATTTAAGACCCCTTATACACTGGACTTTGTGCGCCGATGAGGCCGGTTTTAATCACGGTCGTGTTAAAGCGGCCGACCGTTTGCGTTCTTTAGATATTCCAAGACGTCATTCCGCAATTCCCCAATTAGTAGGTAATTAAAGTTCCGAGCTAATTTATTGTTAAATAAATAGAACACAAGTTGTTTTTTGGAGCCATGTGTTAATCAAGCTTGCCGCATGCCCCCTTATTCCCCGCATTGGTTCTAATGACGCACAAATACTGAACAAATATAACCTCCGCAGACACAGTCTTTATCTAAGATTTCTCCTCTTATTTTTACGTGTCTGTTTCGTTTCATTTTTGATTTTTATTGGACCTGAGTTATTTACCAACCACTCCCCAGCTAGTCGGTTGATATTAGTTGGGACGATCCTTCATTCTAATTGACGCTAGGTGTGTAACTCCGTCAAGCCTTTAATAGACTGTTTAATTCATGGGTTTCTTTGGGGATTAACATTTGCATTTTCTTGGACACAACTAAACTGATGTTGAAATTGTTCTGAATCGTTTCGTTCGTTTCGGACACTATTCAAGGTGACCTTTTCAAACATATCCATGTAGTCTCCAAAATGGGCGTTCATCACTCAATCGTGTATCAATTGGTCTACTTACCGTAAAAAAAATTCCATTGTGAACCAAATGACAACTAGTATTTCCATCCTAAATAATATATACAAAGCGTCCTCCTCGTATTCTTTTATGGTCGAGAATACGCTCAACGCCAGGCAGGTAAAGACCATGAGGAATCTGCAAAAATTGGAGAAATAAATAATAAGTATTATCAGATGGTGCCTCGAAGGTGGTTACTTACACCATCACGTGGTAGAGAACGGCCGGTAGACCCCTGGGCCTTTCCAGGAAATTATAAACGCGACTCTGAAGTCGCCTGTACCGGACATCGCGGCGGTTGCCGCGATTGTAGTTTATAGGCTTCCCCAGTAGCGACATTCGCGGTTGAGCTAAACGATCCGGCGGCGGAGGTGAAATGAGCTTACATGACCTGAAACGAGAGGGGTGGCGGAAACACGGACATTATAATGGACCACTTTTGCTCTGTTGTGTATCGGTGTGACTCGTTGATGATCTTGCCTTAACCTAAACTTCTTCTGATAGAAGATTATGGGATCGTTGTCGGGATCCATGGTGGGACAACACGAATGTGACCTAAGATTGGCTCAATCAATTAAACAAGTGCTCCAATGCTGTTCTGGCAAAAACGTCTTGCACATTTGAACCACAAATCAACACTCACCGCAGCCGTTGACATTGGGGCGATTAAAAATGAAAACTTTTGATTTTCGTCGCAGTTTCGGCCGACGCTTTCGTTGGCTTCTCTGTCGTCTGTTGTCGTCGACGTTGTAGTCGTCTTCGCCACTTTAAGGTGACAAGCCAAGTCTATCAGTGCGTTGCGATCCATCCAGGCCGATAGCCCACCCGCCTTCACAAAGACCCATACACAAACACATATACGCACATACGTCTAGAGTGACGTACTTTTATGACAGAACTCTGCTAAGAAGGCGATCGACATCTTCTCGAAACAAACATCGTCATTGTTTTGCTTTTCTATGGAAGTCCCCGCAGCGTCAGCCACTTCCAAAATCTGTCAGCGTCAAAGGTACTAATTAACCACCGCGACGGGCAATAAACGAGCGATCTCATGCAAATGCATGTCCAGCTAAAATTAATAGCTTTACTGGCGATCGTCATCGCAATCCCAGTCGCATTTTTGGCTAGATGATACGTATATCGGTAGGTAGATACGCTTGTAGTACTCGGTACACAATCGGACATAAAGATAAGGATAAGTGGCGAGAAGCGTCTGATTTCTCCTCGCACTGGCCGAACAGCCAGCTAGCAAACGGAATGAGCTAACGGTTGGAATGAATGAAGACAAGAGTAATCATTCATTTGGCAGTTTAGTCACGATTGCCATCGAAGGTACGTTCACAGGTATGCGTGCGTGTGTGTGTCGATCGCTTATTGGCATTTTCAACTGGCATGGTTTAAATGGCTGAGTATTGTCGACAGCCGACTGCCATGGCGTGGATGGTCGCTTTGCATTCCCAGCAACGTTCCGTTACTGTGTCAAGTGCATGGGCCATTTTGGTGGTAAAAATCGGCCACAAGGCAGGCGTTGAAATAATTGGCCCAAAACGAAAAAGAGTAATTTGCAAAGTCTGCTCAATAAGTGATCGTAATTTTTATATCGTCCACCATACTTTTGGGGGTAGACTAAGTTTGTTGTCAAAAATCATTTCAGCGGAATGAAGTGAGATGATAACATTTTACTCGAATGTATTACAGTATGGAGAATTTTTGGTATTCGGAAAGGACCATAGGCATAGCTCATATATAACAATACCGCCCGATTTAAGGTATTTTTGAGGGTATATGTCCAACATTTTTGCAGAGAACTGTTCATATTGGTCCACATTGTGGTCTATATCCTATTTAACCGTACCTTCCGATATTCGGTATTTGGATGATTAATTGATCTCAATTGCCATATTTTGTGTTCGAAAGAGAGCTGTCCATAAAGGTCCGCATTTTCGTACAGCCTCCATATTTTAGTTATTTCCAATAGAATTTTTGGAAATTTGGTAAATAAAGTATGTAGCAAAATGACAGGTTTACGTATTTTCATTATATGTTAGCCATCTGTTCATTTTTAGACAAATTTTCAGTGGTGTTACTTTCCAAATATAGAAGGGTATTAAAAGATCGGCCTGGTCGAACTTAGCTGTCATTTATTCCAGAACATCAACAATGGGATTGAACCAGATAATTTTGAAATAACAAGACAACAACTGTGGCATCTCAAATAGCGCCCTTCACCCGGGTGCAAAAAGTTTAGAGCAGGGAGAATCTCCTCAGACAGATCATGATAATCTTATCTTTTTTAAATATAACATGCAAATTAAAACACTTATTTTAAACCCATGGACCACATCATATCTTTTGCAAATGTAATCTTTAATTTATTCATTAGGCGGTCAAATAGTTGACAGAGGCCAAATTCTGGCATTCGATATCGAAATAGATTGATAAAAATGAAAATTTTAGTAGAAACAACTTGTGTTGAACCAAAAACATATAATATACAAAGACATATAATATAATAAGATGGGACTTTACATTGTTACCTTTCTTCAATAGATGGCGTTGGTAGTGGAAAAATATGTTATGTCACGATATCGTGACATAGCATTATGTTATATTTTAACAGAGCTGACGCTTTTTAAGGGTTGTTGTTGATTTTATCGATTCAATGTACAAGGAAATGCTCTGGAATAGATTTTTGAGAGCATATCTATCATACCTGATATTTTTTTCCGCGTATTTCCGTCATTTTTCGACGCTATCGGAATAACATATTTTTCTAAAATTTCCAATGCATTTCTGTTATGTCGCCTGCCATCTGTTACCTGATTGAAGAATTAAAGCCCATATGCATTTTGTCCAATCTTTATAGTTTTATGTCTTTGTAATATAATAATAATTGTCATTTTTCATCAATAGATGGCGTTGGTAGTAGAAAAATATGTTATGTCACGATATCGTTATAATTTAACAGAGCTGACACTTTTTAAGGGTTGATGTCGATTTTATCGATTCAATGTACAAGGAAATGCTCTGGAATAGATTTTTGAGAGCATGTCTATCATACCTGATATTTTTTTCCTCGCCAATTTTCGGCGATATCGGAATAACGTATTTTTCTAAAATTTCCAATGCATTTCTGTTATGTCGCCTGCCATCTATTACCTGATGGAAAAATTAAAGCCCATATGCATTTTGTCCAGTCTTTATAGTTTTATGTCTTTGGTTGAACTCTAACATTCGATTCGATAAATCTAAAAATGGCATATTGAAATTAATTTCGATGTAGACATTTATCGATATCAGATGAGGGAATGTGGTCTGTTCTAGTTTTTTTTTTGTGAGAATTCTCAGTCAAATCTCAGGGGGTAATAATAAAATGTTCGATTTCCTCTAAACTATCGCCTAAAGTTGCAGCGTGACGATGACAGATATTTGGGTATGGTGCACGAATTGCAATTCGTGACAAGTCATATATGTTTTGACAGTCATTGTTTTCCGGCAATACACGTTGTTGGTTACTATGCCATGGCCAGAGGCTGTCACCACAATAATGATATGTTTGTGTATTTTATGGTTTATATTTTTTTGTTGGCCTGAGATGACAGTCCCTGGGTCGAGTTGAAAGTCGGCCATCCTGATCGTACACCCAAAAGTAGTGTTTTTCATTATATACTCTGCATGTCACAATCTAAATCGTATATTGAGACTAGAATTATAACTCCGCAGTCCAGAGATTCTTGCCATGGAGAAAAAATACCGAACAACAATGCCGGACATTAATCTTATATTATGTGTTTTTTGCTTTTTGTTTTAACAAGGCTTTCGTTTCAACACTGAGCTATTATTGACTACCCTAATATAAGTTCGAGTATTTGTACAAGTATCGGGTTAAGTAAATTGTTTGATGTGCCTATCCCACAGAGGGCACCTAAATTCATTTGTGTGTATGTATGTGGACACATGTCATTGCATAATTAGCACTGTGCGTTGTTTAGCATTCTTGGATCTCCATAAATTGCTTGAATTGCTTTGTAAGTTGAATAATTGACAGAGTCTCCAAAATTGTGTTTGCAACTTAAAACGGATTATAAGAAAGTAATCAAATATTAAAACTATTTAATGGTTTTGAAAAAAAAAACTTTGGGCATTCATTCGTTCGTTTCTTTTTTTTTAACTCAGTGAAAGTTGTTAGTTTCTTATCTAACATTGGAATTCTTTTTCATTTAATCATAAAACATTGTCGAACTGTTTATTTATTTCAAGCATTTGTCGTAGATAATAGTTATAGGGTCTCTCGATTTGTCATTGTCACTCCCTGAATGTTTTGGGAGGGGACGGCGTATCAAAGCAAAGTTAAATAAAGCGCAAGTTAATACTTCTGGCAGGCAAGGCGGATGTGGGTCCGTGAGTGGATGAATGTATTAGGATGTTTGTATTTTGAATCGATTTAATTGATATCCGGAATTATGGACCAAGGAAATGACATTGTTGCAGAGTTAGCCGCTAATTACAATATTTTCTAATTGGACCCAATTTCTGGCAATGAACGGACCGAGGTCGGATGGGACCGTCTACACGATGATATTCTTTATCACTTTTGTTATTTCGTAGGGACTTTGTTTAGAGCGAATGCGAAATCGAAGGCACCATCTACAGGTTGAGATGAAAAAACTGCAACTAACTTCAGACTGCTGTCATTTTTAAGCCACTCGTAGTACAGCTGTTAAAATTAGTCTATTAAAATTATTATATACAAAAGCATTTTGGTGAGAATTTTCCAAAAAAAAGTTATTCCTAATGGAATTCCAACGTGATAGTAAGATTTCCTTATATTTGGCTGGAAAACCACAAGTGGCTATCGTTAGAGCACTCCAGCATTTAAATGTGAATAAATCTTTTGTGTCTCGTACCTTAGCTCGTTACCATGATACTGTTAATGTAGCCCGACGTCAAGGAAGTAAACGGAAGAAAACAGCAACATCAGCCCGCGCCGCAGTGGCCGAAAAATGGCTCGTGAGCTAAACGTATCACAATATTCCATTCGGCAAATGTTGAAAAATGAGCTCGGAGTAAAGCCATTGAAATTCCGAAAAGTGCAAGAACTTACACTGCAACAGAAAGAAAATAGGCTCAACAGAGCTAAAGAGTTGCTTCGCTTGGCCGAAAGTGGTGAACTGCCGAATTTGGTTTTCTCCGTCAACGATGAGAAAACATTCGTTTTCCAGCAGTTTGTAAACTAACAAAATGACCGTATTTACTTGCCAAAGAGGTCAGCTGAAAATGTGCACCTTCGGTTGGCCACCAGAACTCAAGCGCCGGCCACGGTGATAGTGTGGGCCGCCATAATAGCCGAGCGGAGAGCGGCTCGTATTAATCGACCGTGGCATCAGAATAAATGCCGAATATTATTGCGAAAATATTCTGGGGTGTGTTAAAGCAAACATTTTAGCCGTAGATCTTGGACATTCCAAAAGGACTCAGCTCCATCGCACTCAACACGCGCCAACCAAGAATGGTTACAAATTGAGGTTCCTCGCTTAATTTCAGCGCACAATAGCCACCAAAATCTTCGGATACCAATCCATTGGACTATTGTGTCTGGAGTATTTTGGAAAGCAAGGTTGGCACTAAAAAATACGAAAGTGTCGATCAAGTCAACCAAGCGCTTCGCCGGGAATGGGCCAAAATACCGCAGATCAACATTCGGGTAGCGTGTGACGGTTTCATTGGCCGTTTGAAGGCCATAATTCGTGCTAAAGGTGACCAATTCGAACAAATCTAAACTTATTCAAAATTTGATGCTATTTCCGACATTTTTTGCTTTCACTCAAAAAAATGTAAAAATTATGGTGTTTGACTTTGTTGCAGTTTTTTATCTCACCCTGTATATAACGTATGTATTTGCAGTGAGGAAATTTAATTCATATTTCAAGTACTTTTCCGGCTGTAAAAGAAAGTTGGTGGAAATCGACGCTAGCGTACTGTTTAGTGCAATAATGTCTTAAATATAATTATATGTGAGGTACTATGTGTTTGATTGGGCCAACAAGTTTGTAACAGCTCGAAATGTTAGCTGTAGCACACCCATCACCATTTCCCTCACAATTGGAGAACAAACCTTCATATTTAATATTAGTAGAAATGGAATACATCTTAAGAGATTCGTTCATTCCAGCCAGAAGTGTAACAAGTCGACAGAAACTACCCCAAATTATTGTGATGTAGGGTACCACATAGTCCGTCTATAATAGCCATAGAGTTGACTTCCATCTGCAGAAGTCAATTCTTCTTTCGTTATTCAAAAGCAAACTAAACATACAGCTAAGCCTACTCGAATGCAGGAAATGATCACCGAACTTCGGTCAGATGGCCTCAAATTTACTAGGAACATACAACTAAATACTAGCATTGTCTGACAAACTTAGGAAATAAATTTTGCGACTTACGTTTCCTTCGGTTTGATGGCTATTTCCACGTCATTTGCCATGGGTGGCCGCAAGTCGCAGCTCTAAATTACAAAAAAGTGTAGAACATTTAATAAAGAGTGACGATGTTTACATTTAAACTTGAACTAACTAACTGACTACAGTTCGGCTGCAAAGTGATAGTGGCAATGGACTTAGACTTTTTCACCTGCGAATCGATGATGATCATGCCAGCGCCTGTCAGACTACCACAAATGCTTTGTTCGGATGTGTGAAAATCAATAACCAGTAGATATTAGCGTGTGAACAAAACAAAACACAAAAAGGAAAACAAACAAAGGCGAATATGAAGTGCTTGAATTCATAAATCTGCCACTCGGTTCCGAAATATCTTGACTGGCCACAATGTGGCCGGTGTTTTCCCTAAACACAATTTACATTTCACACAACAACAAGTATCCGAGTCGTGGGGGTTGGAATCTGGCTGGGTTTCTCATATTGATATTGATATAGAGAGCCGCATCGAAATTCATGGGGCGTATACCTAACCTCACCGCCAATTTAATCAATTAGGCCATGTTGTCCAACTGGGCCGGTTAGTTTTATTTGTTTAATTTATAATTAAACAAATACCACCCTCCTCCCACACATACATACACACACGTAGCTATAGACGAGACTTTTTTATATGCTTCATTGTGCTTTAAATATTTAAAAAACACACACACAATCACAATCTTTAGGGGAAATCGGCGAATGCATGTTTTGCTACTGCATAGCTTTTTTCGCTTTGTCGAATTGCTAAAGCAAGAACAACCGTTTCAAAACACATAAAAACGAAACGCAGCGTTGCAACAATTGAATATGTTTTCAAGCACGCTACCGCGATGCCACCTGTGCACCGGCACGGCAGTGTCGGTTCCACGGATTTGGTGACATATATTCTTAATAGATTTTAATAACCTAGAAAACATTTGGGAGCAATGTGAGCTGAGCCGTCCATTAATGGGTAATGTAAACAAAATACCTTCTGCATTCCAAGTGGGTTTGGAGAGAATGGATACGTTTTTTTTTTATTTAATTACAAAGCAAACGAAATTATTTTCCTCGTCACCAAACCGAAAGCTGTTATGGGCTCTTGACGAAGATGGCAGACTTGGGACTTGGAACATTAAGCCATGTTCGAAACCATGGCACAGTTGGCGGTCTGTTTTACTACAAATCAGAAGGTTACGACTGCGTGAAATATCGACAAACAGAATATTATTTTATGCAACAATTCAAGGAATAAGAAAGAAGCTTTCAAATACTCTTACTCTTTTCGAGAGTTATCGTGCGAACCGGGGCGGACATCGCTAGATCGACTTCAAACGGATTTGGTCCAAAGAGACCTAGGGTCGTTATTTCGACTAGGCACGTTTTGACCGTATCAAATGATATATACCACATGGCTGAGGGTATAAAAACGCAATTGAAGAGCAGTTTTTTTTGAACCCAAAAAATTGGGTTCAAAATAGTATTCCATTGACGTTAAATGAAAATTGCATTTGCTGCTGATGCCCCTTAACATTGATGAGTATGTTGTTGTGGTATCATAATAACAGGGGTAAATCCCCCTGGTGACAATATTTTGACTCTGTCTTGTCCTATCTTTATGGTTCTAAGTCTTTGCGACTAATTGCAATAGAGTAAACATTTAGGGAGCATTCTTAGATTGATTCATAGTAATTTCTTACAAAAAATCGCATGCTTCTGAGAGGAGTTTTTTTACGAATCGTTTGAGTTTTTTGCGTTGCTTTGCTTCCGTGTGTGTGTGAGTTTTTTTTTGTGTTAATCGAGGTAGAAGAATACAGGAAGACGCATCGACACAGCTGCTGGGACAATGAACTGCCAAACCAATTTTGGAATTGACAATTTTAAATTAAAAACTATTCAAATTTGTAATAATTGTTTTAATAACCTCCAATTGACGTCGAATAAGAAAACGCATAAAAATCTACTTATATTTGAAGAAACATTTTAAAAATGTTGATATATCAATGCTCCCAAGCGTCGGTGCATCTACCTGAATTCTTCTAGCATTTTGGTAATAGAAAATCAAACACTCTTGGCTCGTTCAATTCATATGTTTTGCTTTTATTTACACATCATCAATTAATTGTTATTGTGTTTGTTATTATTATTTTAATTATTGTTATGTTAATATTCTTATTATTACTGTTGCTGTATATGCTTTTTTTGTTGTTGTTAAGGTTTAGATAGTTGAATTGGTTCGTTGAATACGCTTTGCTATTTACACAAGTGAATAAAACTTTTATTTGTGTTTGTTTTGTGTGTGTGTGTTGTGAGCGAGTACCAAGGGTAAGGGGGATATCAATAATACATTAGAATATAAATGTAGGGATTATGGTTGTGGGCCCGGCAGACTCGATCACCAGCAATGGGGGAAGAAGAGGTCATTGCGATGCACACAAGGCTACCTCAGCTAGGGTCTTGAGGCGTTCTCTCTCAATGACGGAGGGCTTCTCATTTCTTCTCATCGACGATGATCTCGTCACCCGCCTGAATGTTGTAGCTGTACAACAGCTTGTTGGGATATCGCATCTCCTCCGGTCCAAATTCTCTGTAGTCCTGGTCCACGTAATACAGGCGCATTTTATTGGCAGCCAAGGGGATTATTTTCTCCAGCTTCACCTTGAGATCGGACACTGTGCGGTAGAGGTCGACATGGCGCGACTCGGATTTGTCGCCGTAGGTTAGGATTATTTTGACACGCTTGTCGGGCTTTAGACTGACATTGACCAGGGGATCCAGTTTGCCGTGCTTGGCAATCAGATCGAGATAACGCTTGGGCCGTTCACTTTCGGGTTTGTCCATGTAGTGACGGATGAAGGCTCTTTCGGCATCCTCGCGTTCGTCGGGCGTTATGACACCGCCTCCATTTAAGATGGCAACATTCGGCAGACGGGCTATGAGTAGCTGGCGTCTCTCATGCTCGGTACATTCCAGACGGTCCCAGAGGGGCCAGTTCTTTACTCGAAGATTCTTCAGCTTGGGAAATGTGGCCAATCGGTCTATGTCATCCCATGTGTTGATCGAGGCATAGCTGAGATTGAGGAACAGCAGGTTGGGAAAGTGCTTCTGGGGCAAATCAGTGTCTTCGGCGGCATCAGCGATTGTGGAATTGTCGTCCAACTTTTCGGGGAATTCGATGGCCCTTATGGGACAATCGGCCAGCACCAAGTTTTCCATGCAGGGAAATATCCGACCCAGGCGACATATTTCGGGCCACTTCTCCACGGGGTTGCCGGTGAAATGCAGAGTTCTCAATGCCTTGTGGGGGGAGATTTTTTTGTATTTCTTGGTGTGGGAAGACTCCTTGGCATCACAGCATTTGCAGCTATCACTATTTGCCGGGTCGGCGGTGGCAAGTTCGGCAGTGTCGATGAGCACCTCTTTGTAGTCGTTCAAACTTAAATGCAACTCCTCCAGTACGGGCAGATTCTCGAGCAGAACGTCGATACTCTCCCAGTTCAGATAGGTGCCGTTCAGGACAATGCCTCTTAGATTGGTGATGGGTGGGGCGGACAACTTGGTCAGGGGATTGCTCAGGTTGTTCTTGCTCAGATTCAGGAATTCTATGCGAGGCATGTGCTCCACGATCTGGAAGACCTCGTGCCAGTCCTGCAGTTTGTTCTGCGCCAAGTCGAGTTCCCGCACGCGACGGCATTTGTCTTTGATGCTCTCGAAATCGCCCGCACAGTCAATGTCGCAGTCGTTCAGCACCAACAGCTCTGGCACACACTGCAGGGGCGGTAACCTTGGTATGAATATGGAAACTAATCGGTTAGCACCTGTTCCAGCTGCTGCATCCGCATCTTTGTCTTTGTCTGCTTCCCCTCGACTATCGTCGCAATCGGAGAAGTATTTTCGTTCTATTGCTTCCAGTAGCGAAGGCATCTTTGGGGGTCGTTGTTGTTGGTGGATGGGGGGTAGGTCGCAATGAAGCTGCAACAATAGCTGCCTTTTGATGGAATAGCTGCAACGGTTATTCAAGTCAATCGCTCGACTGTTGGCATTTGATTCTTTCAAAGAGGTTGCGAAAAATCGATGCAATTCATAGCCTCTCTCTCGCTCGTGCTCCAACTATTGCTTTTTGTTTTGCTTTCTACTTCACTCGCTGTTGCTGTCGTTGTCGTTGCCGTTGTTGTTGGTTTTTGGTGCTTTGTTTACATATATTTTCTTTGTCGTTTGCTGAAAGAGGCCAATAAAAACATATGACTCGACCAACCAACCCACCAAACTGGTGGAAAACGGGACTTACTGTTTTGGGGCACTCAAACACTCACACACAGCCACTCAATGGCATGTGTCAGGGCAATCGCGGAGTGGTGGTCTTCCTACAAATATAGATTTCCTTCCGTTGACGAGAACTGCCACGAACGAGCAACTCTGAAGTGGTGGTCGGCTTGCGTCGTTCCTTAGCCCACGGCACGAGGAGTTTCCTTTGGATTGCCACAGCGAACTGAACCAGTTTGAGGTCTCTTTGTTTAGGCAGCTAACAAAGATAGCTAACGACAACAACAACTATACATCAGCTGTCGCCGCTTAGAATGTACATAGTCCTCTGGGGGCGACCTTCCAGCTGTGGCCGCTGGAGCAGATTTGCTAATCAAAACTTGCCACCTTTGTGCATCCACGACGTTAGTACGACACTGGCGATTCACCAATCTATTGCACGAACATGCAAAGGTAACATGTGTTGGTGCCTTTCCCCGCTCGCTCGCTCGCGTCCGCTTCTTGTGCAGCGCTTGGTCACTCGGTGGCAGGACGGACGGCCGTGCGTTATAGCAGCTGGGTGATGTAATTGCACTTTTGTTTGTTGCGTTTTTCCGATTCCGTTCGTTCAAGTGGCGAATTTATTTGTTTTCGATGATGGAGTGTTTTGCTGTGGATCTGCTTTTCAGGCTGGAACAATTTCGGGCTTCTGCATTCACTTTTAATTGCGCACTAAATACTTTTGGGTTCGAGTGAGTAACCGCGTCGCGGAATTGTAATGTTTCGTTTGCTGTGCCTGTGAATATTGGAAACTGTTTTTTCTATACTTTCGGGCTTTTCTGAACAAAGAAACAGAAACAGCGTCGAAAAAGCGTTCGGTGTAGTAGTGGTGGTGTTGGCGGTGATGGTGGTGGCGTTGTCTAAAAACAATGACTGCCTCTACGAGCGTACGTTGAAAACAAAAACGTTTGTTACGCTTATTTCGTTGTTAGAGTTCGTTTGGCTCTGCACAGCTCTCGTCTGGTCGGATCTGCTCCACTCTTGTACTCTGTGTGTTGGCACAGATTTGTTGCTATAATCGAATGTTGTGATGGTGGCGGCGGTTGCGGCGGACATTCGGGCACTATTCTAACTGCTCTTCTCTTTGGCTGGATGTGCTGTAAATGCGCTCTCAGTGCTCAGCCGTAGTGAATTGAAACTCTCGGGGAGAACCCACACATGGCTCTTGTGTGGAAAGAGTGGCGAAACAGCGTTTGATTTTGTGTAGGTCGTGTCTGCTGCCTGGATGTTTGAAAAGCGGGTCGCATTGTGGGGCGAGTAGTCACATCTGGTGGGGCCTTTTTCCTTGGCATTGTCGCGCAATATTCGATCGTCGCACAGTGTCTCAATAACGATTTTGCCGGTCAACATTCTGTTGCTTCGGAACATTTAGAGATGTGATTAAAACAGGCAATGTCTAAAGTTTTCCTTCAAGTGCCCAAGACTCTTGAGGAGAGACTTTATGAATGTCAAAGTCCAATTTTTTAAATTAGTTTTCATTTAACAATGATTATAGATTAGACAATAAAACTATTTTCGTAAAAAATAAGTTTATCAGCATATCGGTATTAAGGGTACTTTGAAGGTGTTAAATCAATGGACCCATGTTTTTCTAGAGTAATTTTCATAAAAATTGTATCTAGCCAGCTATAGATACAGATGTGTGTATATGTGTTGAAAGGGGTACTCTCTGCATTTTTGTCAATAATTAGAGAAATTAGAGAATCGACTGAAGATAAGACGAATCTGAAAACATTATAGCACGTCCGATGTAAGAAATGTTTAGTGAATAATCCATAAGGGTGATTATCGGTGACTCAAATAATTTTATTCCAAATTCTTGTTGATAATATTGAGACTGGGAGTTTGAAGAGGGGCTGAAATAGATAGAGATATACTCAAAACCGTTGGAACTATAGGTATATCGGGTACGTTTCAATTTTTTTTGAAGAGATCGGGTCAAAAATATTTATATTCGAACCGATCATCTTAGTGAACATCCAAACCTATGTTAACCAAATTTTGTCTTCTTATACCCAACACCACACTGTGGTTCAAAAGGAAACGATTGCAAAGGCATAGAAGTATAAAGATAGGACCAGACAGTAAAAATATGGCAACCCTGTGAAAATTCTCCTGTTGTTATGATATCATAACAACATAGTTAACAATGTTAACTGATTTAACCGCTAAGGCAATATGCACATTTTTGGAAACGTTTATGGAAAAGAATTTGAAAACCACATTTTTGGATTTTGCAAACTCTCTGTAATTGTGGTTTTTAAATTGACATGCCTCTGGCATGAGCTGTTAATGCATTTTTCTAGTCTTTACCATTTTAGGTCTTTGACGATTGTTCACATCGGCGTTTCGGTCCGTTTGCCCATCTAATTTTGTAAGCAATTTCCAGTCACATTTTTTTCTGATTGAGATGGAATTTTCCAAGAACCGTTCTTCGAGCACATGGACGAATTCTATTGAAATTGGTGATAATAGGTTTTAATTAAAATATACCTCAAATAGATTGGACGCCAAATGTGTAATATTGGGTGGATTTTGGCAATTTGGTTAAAATCGGTTCAAATATAGATGTAACTCAAATATATATATTTCATGCGGGTTCACATTTATTTTACACATACGACCGAGGATAAATGCGTCAAATTTAATGAAAATTGGTTCACATATATAAATACCTGCCATACATGTTTCAACCAATTTTAATTTACATCTGCTCAAAGTCATAACATGCTCTCTATACCAATGATATTAGGTACGAGAGGTTAGAGACATCACAAAAAGACCTCCGTTAATTTAGTGGAGACCGAAAAACATAAAGATATAGCCTCCATATTTTGGTTGCATCATCTCGGTATGATCTACTTCATATAAATTCTCAATATAAACGTTTATTTGCTGCGGGAAGTTCTGTTATGTTACTTCAGTGGAAAAACACGTCAACATTTTTTCTATTTATTTAATTCGGAATTTAAAAAAAATGTTCCCAAACCATATTGATAATAAGCTCTTTATTCTAGTACTGTAAATTCCTTCAATAGTTGTTGTTGTTTTCAAATATGTATCTGCCAGAGCAAGACTGCCACTTTCTATGTAGATGGTGGAAATAACCTGGCCCTGCATCAGATATAGAGGCCCCCAACATACGCGAACGATCAAAATAGGCTCATTTTTACCAGACGGTAATTTCATCAACGGTTTCAACGATGTGTAAGTGTGTGTGTGCCTATGTGTTGCTGGCTCTTTCTCCTCGGTGGATAGATGTGGCCGTGTGTCGCTGAATGTTTTGGGACACCAACGAGTCGAGTAATTGTTGGCAACGACCTTGCGGCCAAAAATAGTTGAGTGTTCTGAAATGTTTGATGTGGCATTTGGTATAGCCACCGTTCGGAGACCATCCGTCGGCCAGACCTCAAGGCATTCACGCTTTCAGCCAATGGGGTTAGTGTTACATGAGTTCGTTGGCTGTGACCTTTGCTAAGAATACACAACGGTTCGATGTTTACACACACCGCATGCATACATACCTACTTACATACATATGTATGTAGATCATCGAGTGCGTTTGCCAGAGGATCACTTATAGAATGCTCTCGAAACGATCGTCTTTCGATTCAACATGAAGGCCGGACAAGTTGAAAATTATTTGAAATTCCTTGTGTATCTTTTTTGAAGGGTTGGGTAGGTGCTCTAAACGTGGCGGTAGAATAAAGAAGCCAGCCAGGGCCCAGTAACTTTTGGCCTTGCCGGGTAACTCTATGGATATTCGTGAAACACGTTTTATCTCTGCATAGCCATAGCCATGTGCATGTGAAGTGGGGTGGGGTTGGGGTTGGGGAGAAATACGTGGCTCATAACTGGTTTACGCGGGGACACAAAGAAGCGAATCCGCAAGACAAAGTAAAACAAAACACACAAATATAAGTTTGACGCTCACATACACACAACCAACGAACACCTAGCACTGCCAAAGCAATTGCACTTCAGCCAGTTGTTGGAGCCCGACTGTGCGGACGGGGAAGGGGCAGAAGTACATTGGCAAATTAGCATTCCGTTGAGTGGGGAGTATTGCGTTGGGGCTTTGCGATTCGGGGTTGTTTGAACAGAATTTTAAAATGTGTATGTTCTCTGATTGCCATTCGCTCTTTGTAAAACAGCTGTAAAGCTTTCTAGCTTTGTGGTTCTCTCTCTCTCTCTCTCTATCACATAAAGCTTTTGGGAATCAGCTGATTTCTGTTTTAGAGTTGTATTGCTCTCCTTGTGCGTCTTGGTCGTATGCTTGTGTGCCACTTTTTTTCGCTCACATGCGATTTTGACATGTTTATGTTCTATTGAGTGGACCCTGTCAATTTAGTTCATAACAAAGTGGCCCCCAGCCACAAGTAACCCTTTTCGGTGTACTTTGAGCTCGTCATACAAACAACGTATCATTATTAGCCATCAACAATGGGGGGTGGGCATTGACCGACTTACACACATACATACACACATGAACAAGTTCGCGGGGCTCAGCCTGGGCTATCGCGTTCTTATAGTCGACTTTCTTGCCTTGGATGTGTGGTTATGTTTTTGCGAATCATGCCAGCCATTGAGTACTTGGCTGTTTCATACAAAGTGTGGGGCAAGTTCGGAGGTAATCATTGGAGAACAACACATGGTCACTTGTCCCCTCACTCTTGTTGTTAGTTGGTGCATTGTGTTGCCGAACGACGAACACGACTTAAGGAAAACAGGGCAGGTGTCTTTTTGCAGAGAGTTCTGTCCTTTGCCATCTGCTGGGCTCTGGCATGCTTCCAAAATGTCGAAGGTCATGACATGCCAAGGAAATCGACATTACTGACCTGTGGCGAGAAAGGAGTTTCCGCATTGTTTGCGAACAGAAAGTGTTCCCCATCGACTAAATGTCGGAAATAGAAGAACCTACTACCCCCTCTTCGTTCCCCCAACCTTCGAATTCCCCCAATAGTGATAACAACCTAGGTGATTCCAACCATAAATTTCAATGGACTTATCTCTTGGCTTTCACTTTCCACGTGATGGAGGTGATATATGCCCCATCCGTAATAAGAACCTTTCATTTGTTTTTGCCATTTTGTAAGCGATTGGTGGGGTAGATAATGTCGGAACATAAAAATACTTGATTGTGTACGCAATACGGTGTTGTGTCTGTGTGTACGAGGGGCATTTCTCCACGTATGACACAAATACCTGTTGGGTCAGCTCAACTAGGAGACTAGTATTATCCAGTTTGGATTTCCGTGGTGAATGTCGAGTAGAGTATTTATGGAATGAAGACTGGAGATTGGACTCAAAGATTTGTTATGGAGTTGATATGCTTTCGGTCTTGTCGGGGGAAATATACAAATCGGTTGGTTTTTTTGTTTTGGCTGAGTTTTCAACAAACTTGCCACTTTAAGTTCTAAGTCGGTGCTCCAATGATAAGTGTTTGCTCATTGAAAACCGAGTCGCCCTGTTCTCACTTTCTCCGGCTTTTTCTCCTCCTCCCCTTGAAATGTCATTGGGAAGATACGCCATTTCCTTCGCCACCTTGCTGTTTACCAGGCATTCCAATTTGTAAACGTGGCCAAATCTTAATTGGTTGCGGTGTTGGAATTTCAGCGAGATTTGTTTAAATTGTGCGCTCTTTCATTTCCACCGTAAAGTACTTTTGTGCTAAATGGCACGAATGTGCGACGCGCGGGGTATAATGGCACCAGCGGGGCAATGGCAGCAGATGTAATGGTGTCTGCGGTTGTGTGAGTGCGTCAGAATGTCGTTTGCCGTTGTAATCGTCGACAAATGAATTGCTCGAGTGGGGGTATTAACTCGTATCAAATTGTAAGACAACCTTCACCTTACATTGGATTTGCCGCCATCTGCGCCATTTGTTTGCTGAAGATTGTTTCTATTGCAAGTCATGCTACCGCAGAGTTGCCATGTGTCCGCAAACAAAAAAAAAAACATGCACTGTATGTTGTGCCGTATGATGGATACTCAACGGACTCGGAATCATCTCCCATTACTCATACGCGAATTTGCACAAGATTAAAGTTAAAGAAACAAAGAATTTTATTATTTCGTTGCAACGTTTTGGCCCGTTCTTATATTTTTTTAATCCTGTTTTGTTATCACCTTCTTTCGGAAAAATAAAGGATAAGATTCTCAATATTGGGTTTTCATTATAAGTTCTGTTCTTTAAAATAAAT